CACAACAGAACAAGGACAATCAAGGCTTGTTTGCTGCTACTTGATTGTCCTTGTTGTTCTGTTGTGTATTACGCTCTGCCTTTGTGGTGTTGAGCACTGTCAGCACTCTAGGTACATCCTTCGGTATACATAATAATAATAATTTTTACAAGAGGTCGGAGGCGGATAATACTTTAATAACGAAGGTACTTGTTGGGTCGTAAGTATCCACGCAAACACACATCCAGGCAAAATAGGGCACTTGTCAAAGTATCCGAACGTTTTCGGTCCCTTCTCATCAAGGATTTACAGGGAATGGCTCAAGTTGGAAAACTTGTCAAAGTATCCGAACGTTTTCGGTCCCTTCTCATCAAGGATTTACAGGGAATGGCTCAAGTTGGAAAGACTAAAATTTATATAGCGTAAAGATATGAGATAACAACACTCGTGAGAAGGTGGAAAATTATCAAGTTCAGCACGACACAAAACTCGAAGGAAATAATAATAGTGACAAGAACATATTGAGCAAATTAAGTTACATTGTTAACACCTCGACGAGGAGTAACACAAAACAATTGTAGCGACAACAAATTTTCTTTCTAGAATAATAGAACAGTTCGCGTACAAGGCAGCAAATGCTAACCTTTCCGCTTCTGTCTCTTTTGAGCTCTGCCACATGTGATGGTTGTGAAAAAAAGGAAAAGACAACACCCGAGAGAAATGAAAGTGCACAACCGGATAGAGGTGTGTATGGAGATGGGTGTAAGTAAGTAAACCATATTAGCTACACACATATTAGCTACATATTAGCTACACGTATATTCAATGACATAATTAAAGACATATTCATAAATGACATATCTTCAATACCCATGAGCTACATTGTATATGATAATTATATCATTGTATCATCGTTCTAGCTCAATTTCTTCCCCCTGTCATAGTCCTGTTTATCATGTTCAGCATAAGCAAAGTTGTGGATCATGCTTGCATGGTTGACTCCAACGCGTACATGCAAGTAATAAAAATGATAATATAAGTATGTTGGACTCAGTAGAGCGTCCAGCCCCTATATGATGTCCAACCCCTATATAGAGTCCATTGGTCCAAAATCCACTGTACAGAGTCCAAACTTGGAATCAACTGTGAGCTCAAAGTTTCGATGGACATCACTCCCTGTATAGAGTCCAGCCAATTGGCTTCACCCCTATATAGAGTCCATTGGTCCAAAATCAACTGTACGGAGTCCAAACTTTGAAATCAACTATAAAGAGTCTTTATGTGGACAACACCCCCTGTATAAAGTCCAGCCAATTAGGCATCCCCTATCGAGTTCGAAAATAGACATAGGATCTGCTGTAAGCAGTGAATATTAACCAGAAAACGGCCTCTCCCTTTAATCCTTTACATCATTCACTTCTCAAGATAAAAAATATGTATTGAGGCGCCACTGCAGCCACGTCATTACATGAAAAACCCTACAAACACCATCCTCAAATCAAGTGGTCTCTTCGCAGACGCTGCAAATTACAATATCTCAATCATGTAGTGTTGCCAAATTATTGTGCACGCACACACACATGCACACACCCACACAACGCCAAGAAAATACCTAGAAAAAAACCAAAAATCGAAAGAGAATAATGGAGAGCCCAGGATTAATTATTTGTTTTCAAATTATTGTGCGCGTGCGCGCGCACACACACACACACACACACTTATACAACGCCAAGAAAACACCAAGAAAAGAGTAGAGACACAATACACACGCAACTCCAACAGCCATGCAAACGTCCACCCATTTACATGTAAAGTCAAGAGGGATAACAAATAATTATACGAAACGAATGCGTACGGGGACGGGTACACGCACGTTTACATACACGTAGTAGTGTAAGAGAGTAACATAGTGCAGTGGTCAGCATAATACTAGCACATGCTGAGAGTGCAATAGCAAGCTTCACCATTGCTCATGGCCATGCAAATGTTCAGCAGCACTCAGTTCCGCAAGCTTCTGAAGATCAGCACACCTGCAACAAATAGATAGCACAAGGATACGCTTATTACCGTAATGATGCATGGGAGCACACAACTACTAAGTTCTCAACGAATGTGATGCTCAATGAAAATCAATCCACTCAAAGACCTGTGAACAGGTGATGGTGGGTACAATAATCTATTAGTAATACGAGGAATAAGATCGTTTGTGCACACTCAAAACGCACAGACACACCAACATACATGTAGTGTACACAGTGTTTCACTTCACTGCAACTAAATTGAAATGAGATGATTTGAACAATCTGTACAGCGTTGCTGTAAGTCAGTCTTCCCCAAGATGGAAATGCAATGATTTGTTGTCACGAGGCAGTTTCACTGACACAATGTCATGTTCGTGACATCAAAACGGTTACTTCAGGGAATACGAGTATTAGCTTGAGAAGCTTCTTCTTGTCATTGGCATACAAGCAATCCTCCTAGTCCTACTACTACTAGTACACTGGCACTGCGTTTGTGGATCCCATTGTATTCGACATCATACTACAGGAAGAGTGTCGTGGAGTTCACATAATTATCACAGGGATAAAAATACATTTCTCATGAAATAAAAATTGATGATAGCTAGACGATCATATACGATTGATGCAAAGTCCTTGCAGTCCTTGAGGACTATTACGAAGTGGTTGATTACTTTTAGCAAGAGTCCATAACCCCCCAGAGTGTGCAACTCGTGATCCTTCTCAGCACAAATCAGTGCCGCAACGAAATCCAAACTTCATACGTCATGTAGTGAGTAGCTATGACGAAATGGGAAGTTTGGCCCGGACCTACTTCGCCCGTTTGCCCAATTTGGGGTCTTTCTTTACGAATCCACGGCCAGGTATTGTACGTAACACGCCTGGAAAGGCTCAAGTACACAAAGAATTATTTTAGAGTTGTCGAACAGTTTTCCCTTTTGAGTGTCTCTCCGATAAGAGAAGAACAATGGCCACTGTTGAACCTAAAGCAAAGCGCTCCCCATTGTCGCCGGAGTGCAGTGTCTCTGTGGACGATATTCGTCAGTTTTTGCTCGATCTGGGCTCCTCATTTTCTTCTCTCGATTGTCGAGTATTGGAAATTGTACCAAAATGGGACTGAGGAGCAGGTTGAAGCACATCTACTTCGAAATCGATCGGGTCTTCATGCCGTGTGCCAAGAGCTATTTCTATCAAATCTTGTAAATCTATATCCATGCCTATTCTTGCTATCCCGGAGTCACGAACTCTCCCAATTAAATACAAGCTTTTCAGACAACGAGCAGAGAAACTCTCTTCAAATAAAAAAATTCTGTGACTGTGAAATCAAAGCCGTTCTGCTGACACTGCATAGCCCGTGGAGCAAACGTTTTACGTGACACTTCCGTGGCTTGCTTCAAAGCAACCTTCAAGTAACCCCCGCCGGATGTACCAGATATGCACATGGCCCCATCCGCCCATGCTTGCCCGGGGACCGGATGACGCAATGTTTGGATTTCGTTGCGCCAGACCCCAACCTGGAGTTGCACACTCTGGGGGGTTATGGACTCTTGCTTTTAGGGCATTCATTCAAGCAACATCAAACAAACGCGATACGCTCCTTGAAAATGGAAAAAAATTCAAGCATAACGACAGAACAGCAGACCAATCGAAACGAGTAAAAGCTTCCTTACCTCAGTCATCGTCCTGCCATGTAGTTGGACAGCCTTTTGACACGGTGGTACAGGAAGCTCTTGTCCAGTCAAACAGGGGTATCCTTGTGGCGTCGAACGAAAGAGAGTGTCAGTGTATCTGACTCGTCAGATTGCAACTGTGCTGAACGTTTCTCTTTCTCCGCTTTCTGCTTTCATCCCTCGCTCTGATGAAACCGTTCAAACGTCTTACTGGCAGCAATGGCCAGCCAAACAGGGGATCCTTGTGGCGTCGAACGAAAGAGAGCGTCAGTGTACCTGACTCGTCAGATTTGAACTGTGCTGAACTTTTCTCGTTCTGCAATTTCTGCTTTCATCCCGCGCACTGATGAAACGTCTTCAGAGAACCACAAGACGCTTTCCAGATTTGATTTTGAACGTCTCCTTATCCTCCTTGGTTAGCTCGAGACAGATTACTGTCAGCAACTGCACAGCAGAATTGGCAGCCATGGCTGAAGTGAAGAAAGGAATGCGCTGCCACGAGGCAAGCAAAACTGAATTTTTTTTAAAAATGTGTTCTCTTTCGGGGCACAACACACAGGACGGCGTGACTGGATAAACTGGACTCCTGGACCGTGAATAGGGGACTTGTAGAAAAAGTGTACTCCTTATAGGGGATTGCGCGGCAGGATGAAGCTGATCAAAACTGAGTGGACTCCTGGACTCTGTATAGTGGATTTTGGACCAATGGACTCTATATAGGGTGCTGGACATCATATAGTGCATGGACTCTATACTGAGTCCTACATATAAGTGTGTGTGTGTGTGTTTAGTTATTACATTTTTATGTGACGGCGTTCCACTGATGACAAATCATGAAACATTTAACTAATTCTGTGATGGACAAAGAAGAAAAGTGGATAATATTATCGCGGTTGGTGATGGACAATGATGGAATTTAAAAAACCTAGTTATTGTACAGCTCTGATCGGGAAGAAAACATTGTTCTAAATAACACAAATTAGGCCAGAGGACTAATATTTTGAATTTCTTAAGTGAGAAATAACGCCTGTAACAAGGCTCTCATCCGCTCCCTGACACTCTCCTATCTCAACTAACTGCCTGACACTCTCCTATCTCAACTGACTGCCTGCATCTTTGCTTTCTGTGATGAACCTCTCTGTACTCTCATCTTGCCTGTCCAATTGCCTATCAAGCCTCCTGCAACACTCTGTTCACCTCTCTGTTGACTGTATTCCTTGTTGTTGGAACATTTCACTCAGGAACAGGGTTCATTCATTTTTTGTTTTAAATGGTTTAAGGCGAAGATCTTGCAGTTATACTAACCAGGAAAACAAATGTGTTTCTCTTCCAGGTCCTACATCAGGATGGGTCTTACGTGAAAACGATTGGTAATGGTGCTATCGGTAGATCGTATGGTGTTGCAGCACTGTCTCTGCCCCAGCATGGTATTTGCTATGCTGTAACCGATCTCCATGACCATTGTGTGAGAGTAAGTTAGTGCTTGTGTGGTGTTTATTGCTGAGATTTCTCAGAATTCTAATCTGATGGTTGCTATGATTAGCACTAAAATGGACTTTGTCTCAGTTCTTGAAGCAGAGAAAGTAAATAGGTACTGAACAGATAGAATGCTATAATCGGTAACCAAGATATTGAGCAGCTGAAACATTCAATAAACTTGTGGGAGAACTGGATCTATAAGGACCTTTCGCATCTGCTGCGAATCGAATGCGAAACGAAAGTTTGATTCGGCTCGTCCTCGTTTCGTTGAAAGCAGATTCAGGTTTCGCAAATTGTCCTGCAAATGTCCATAGCAACAACAAATATGGCTGGTAGCTTGGCGTACGCATGTTTACACACACACGTACACGTGCATGGATCATGGAATTAAGGGAAAAAATGTGTACCTGACAAAACATGTGTATCTGGGGAAAAAAGGTGTATCTGACGAATTTGGAGCATGCCACGAAATAAGAGGCTTCCTTTCGTGAAAACGAGCTCTCCGCAGGGACTCTGACGAATCCTCGAAGTCAGGTGATGAGTCAGCATACGTTTCGTAACTGTATGTGTGGTGCGAAATGTCTCTTATATCTTTTCTAAAACTCCTTCTTTGCCCAACACAACACCAGCACAACATGACAACCTCTGGTGAAAAATATGTAGTACAGATAATACAAGTTAGCATTGAAGAGAGAAAGAGAAGAACAAGAGGAAGAACAAAATGAACAGCACTTTTTCCAGCATAAGACACATAGAACAAGGCATACAAAACGGTGGCAGAACTGCCAGTAATATCTCGTCATGGCTGAAGCCGTTACTGCGGCCAGGTATCTTGGAGTGCTCCTCGACTCGGATCTGTCATGGACGTCCCATGTTGATCGCTGCACCGCCCAGAGGATCGGAGCACTATGGAGGTTGCGTCGCTGCTTGACTCATCAGAGCCGAGTTCTCTACTTTAAAGCGATCATCATGTCTGACCTGAATGTGATGTACGGATCCATTGCGTTCTCCCCACTCCTTACTGCCAACCAATTGGATCGGCTACAAGTCATGCAGAATCGGGCGGCAAGGGCGGTTTTCGGACTCTCGCATCACACCTCCGCGCCCACCCTCCTGCTGAAATTGGGCGCATACAGAGTATCCGAGATATGCAGGCAGATGTTCGCCATTCTTGTCTGGAGGTCTCAGAATGGGCACGCAAGTTCTGATCTGCAAGCCCTCCTAGTTCCTTCGTCAGCTGGCCCAACAAGGTTGCACTCCACCATGGGTCTGCGCCAACTGCCAGTTTGCACCAGGTTCGGCAAGGGTTGCCTCGCGCTCCGGGGCGCCCGGCTGTGGAACACCTTACCCAGCAATATAGGTGCCATCGCCCCGCTCCGCCAGTTCCGAGCCAGCATGATCCCGCACACCCTTAGTACCTGGAGTACCAAACGTCCTGTTTGATGATCAGCTGGCTTAGTTTCTTTCCACCTCTATCCTTATTACATCCCTCTGCAATTTCATTAATTACAGCTTTCGCCATTTGCCACCTTTTCATTGGGAAGATCCGCCCGTTTGGTTTGCGAATTAATATAAACTCAACAGCAAGCAGCTAATGCAGCGACAGCCACCACGAAGTGCATGAAATAAATCTGGACATGAAGTGAAGAAAACAGCAACTCCAACAAAGAAACAAAACAAGATGATCAACGTGACTAACCAGAGGGTAAACGGCATTCGGCCGTTGAAAGTGTCTGCATTGACATTCACCACCATCACTGTGCTCTGTGGCCGATCACACACATCCACTCCCTTGTCCAATACAGGTCACAAGAGGTTCCTTCAAGCATTGAAGTTTTATTCGTTCTGACACGTGTTTTGGTCACTAAGACTTCATCAAAGAAGGTTGAGTTGTTGAATGACTTGAAAAGAAACAATCACCTAGTTTATACTGATTCTTCCATGACTGTATGTATGAGAGCTAAACGATACACACGCCCAAAGAGCGAGCCGTTGGTGCAGTGTGGATAGGGAGAGCATGGGGTTGATGCCAGGTGAACTACTTGCATGACTGCTGTATCCGGCAGTAACTATCACCTCTTTGCAGACTTTCCTATAATTTCAGTACCTATCAACATGTTAGCACCTTGTTTTCGCACTTCGAGTATCAAGCGCATGGTCTTTAGAGCACCCTCCCTCATTTCAAGCGACGGTATAGCATATTTTGCCGAGTGGAAGGTGCGATGGACATCTCGTGTACTCTAGATGGCAGTCGTGAGTCAGTCAAGTGAGAATTCCAGTCGGCAGGGAAATCGCGAGCTCTGATATAAGGAGCAACACGCAATTCCCCGAGTATCTCTGAAATCGCACCAACATCTTCTTCACAGTATAAAATAGGCGACTATTTTCTTATCCAGTCATTTAACAACTCAACATTCTCTAATGAGGCCTCTGTGACCAAAACAACTGTAAGAAGGAATAAAACTTCACTGCTGGAAGGAACATGTTGTTGCTGCTGTGTTCGAGTGAGTGGATGTATGTGTTCGTTCACAGAGTGTAATAATGGTGGTAATTGTCAACACAGCTATGTGACTATCCCCAACAAAGACAAAAGCAATGACATCATCAGTCACAGCTCAAACACAGCCTGCAGCCTTGCAGGCGCTGGTTAAATGGATAACACAGAAAGCACGCAAATAAATAACATAACAAGCGATCAGAGCATGGAAACAAATAAAATTCAAATAAACTACTTCAAAGAATGATGAAAAGTGAAACGACTAGCACTAAAATGAGAACAGAACTCAGAACAAGAACAATTTACGCCCAGTGGAAGCAGATAAGGATTGGTCCGGCCATGCCTAAAGTCATCATGGGTCATTTTTTTCACCACGGGGTAGAAAACAACGCTTTTACAGTCGAAATGGTTTATTGACCCAGTTATGTAAATGCCATTGAAGCCTGCAGTAGTCACATCTTGAACAGTCAGACGAGCACGTATGCACGACTCTTCAAACGCCGAGTTTGGGTAGACAACCACTGCTGGCAGGGACACTTTGGCGGAAAAAGCAAAAAACAGTAATTTCCCGGGTATGACGGGCTTCTCGAGTGCTCCAGACGCAGTCATGAGTCAGTTAAGTGTCATTCCAGTCGACGGAAGCGCGAGCTCCGACGTTGGGAGAATGCAGTTTCTTCACATATGTACCGCTAACTCAGTGTCGTGACATCTTAGCTCGACTTCCTACACACTCCTCAAAACATTTCTAACCACTCCTCAATTGCTCAAAGACTTCCAAACACTCTCTGACTAACGCTTTAATACTCGGGATCAGCTATCAGTTGATCGACGGTTTTTTTCCATTATCGATGTGATGTTTCCAAGAAAAAATGTCTGGGCCAAAAAGTTGGTCCGGCCATGGCTGGATCTTACGGACCAGTTCCGCCTGCCCTTCAATGGAAGCAGACTACGGATGACGCTGCATTGAGGTAAGAGGCATGACACACTCATGATAAATGGCACCACAACAAATACATTATCATAATATTAGTTTCTACACATATTGACATTGTATTGTCAGAAACAGTCAGAAGAATGCTGATAGCTCTAGTGACATCCAACATCCGGATATTTAGCTCATCATCACGTGTATGAGTGAATTTCTGTAATGACAAACGATCACCTGCCAAATTTCTAATTTCATTCAAGTTGGATCTCTTTTTCACTGGTTGGGCTTACTTCACACTCTAGGGTGTACTCAGTGATATTCACAACATAGCAATGTACATAGACATCATCATCATCACCATCTATGCTTCAACAATGGCTGAGCAGGATGATGCCCTGCTCGCTGTCGAGAACCGACACCTAGTCCAAACACGTCTAAGTTCAGATGCGCATCCCTTCTTACTTTATTTATAAAGGAAAATGAAACAGGCATGATGCTTAAAAGAGCAATGGACCCATTGTCCCTAAAGTACCTGGGCCATTGGATTAGGGACTAGGGTGTTCACCCTGATCCATGCCATTGAGCGCCTCGCAGCATCAACTAACGTGGAAGAGCTGCGTTGGGCACTTTTACTCTTCACTCACCTCTCCATTTTTCTGCCGTCATTGTCGAAAGTAGTCGCCCCACTGCGTGAGCTACTTCTGTTTGACACGACATGGGAATGGACCGAAGCACATGAGCCAGCTTTCACAGAGCTCAAACGCCTAGCTGCCTCAACCTCATGTCTCGCGTACTGCTACCCGTCTGCACCATTTATCGTCACAGCCGATGGCAGCAGCTAATGATTGACTACAGCACTGCTACAGTTCGACGACAATAAGTGGAATCCGGTCGCGTGCGCCTCACACACCATGACAGCAGCAGAGAAACCGGGTATCTCCATGTTGAAAACATCTACTGATCAGACTCATGCTCTATGATGTACAGGCGGAGTATGTTGCTGGCAAAAACATGGTTCTTGCTGACAACCTGCCCAGAGCTCCTCTTCCTGACACACCAGCAACCAAATCCAACCTACAGAGTGACTTGGAAGCCACCATCCTTGCTGTCCTGTCGTCTCTATGCAATCCTGCTGAGCAACATGCTCTCGTTACAGCCACTGCTGACGATCCAGTTCTGCAACAACTGATCCAGCATACCCTGCATGGCTGGCCGACCAAGGTCAACGTAGACCTGGAGGCCTACCGCAACGAATGTGGCTCGCTCACAGTTCACGACGGTCTGCTGTACCACTGATTTCGGATCGTAATTTCGGCATCCGTGCGCAAAGCTACGCCTGCTGTAACAGTATAGACTTGATTGATTGGAGAATTCGTCGAATGATGTTCAAACCAGAGGTTATAAGGCCGAGTAAAAAAAATTACTAGATGATCGTCCTTTTTTTTGGAAAAATCGGGGAGGGCGGGAGGATTTTATTTTTATTTTTTTACTTTTTACCCTCTCATGCACACAGTGTACACAACATCAAGGTTTTTTTTCTCTTTTTTTCTTTTTTTTTCTTTTTTTC